CATGAAATTGGCTCCAGATGGAAATAAGAAAAGGTGTTTACTCCCGGCCGGTGCCAGACACAGAGAACCAGAAGTGCTTACCATCTCAGGTTCATAATTCCCAGTGCTGGGCAGCAACCCCACTGAGGGTCTGGCCAGGGCTCATGGTGATGGGTGGACCGGGCTGTCTGTTGCTTGGAAAAGGCTATTTTGAATGTAATGACTTTCAGATGAGGTCTGTGGGTTTGGAGGAAGGCACTGTGGCTAGGGTCTAGAGGGGAAAGGGAAGGGAAGAAAAGAGGTGTTTCCCTATGAGGCAACAGAAACGACACATGTCTTGTCAGCACCTTCTCCAGGTTTAATTTTCAGAGGCTAGCTTTGCCCCGAAAGAGTGGGATCGTGGCATTGTCTGCTGTGTTCCCAGATCTTCCCGATCTCTCCAAACCCATGATTCACAAGTATGTAGCTCTCTGAGAGCACATCTCCCTTGGGTTGACATGTGGTCAGCTCGGGGGTGGAGGAGCAGGGCAGCTGCGGACCCAGACGGTATGCTGACTGACAGCTTTGTGGCCCTTGCAGACGGGAGGGGTTAGCTTCACCCACTCAAAGTGGGTGACTAGTGTGGAACTGCCTCTCCCGCCTTCTCAGAGACTGGCAGAGACTGCACGGTTATGGAATGGGTGTTCTCTGGCCTACAGCGCCCCCTAGCACTGGCCGGAGGGATAGGGCTCTGTGAACTCTCCAAGGAGCTACCACCTGCCTATCTGAAAAGTGGGAAGGCGTTGGTGGGGCCAAGCATTTTGACTCATTCAACCAATACTTGCTGACATCTTGGTTACTAACACTGTCTTCAAGGGGCTTCCTCTATCCTGGAAGGGAAACAGATGGTAAACAATCACACTGTAGTCAGCTAAGTGGTGTGAAAGAAAGCACAGGGTGCTGTGGGGATACACTGCACTTGATTGATGAAGACTGGGGAGAGGAGATTACAGAAGGCTTTCTGGAGGAGGTGACATTTCAACTGCAACAGTGGTTCAATGAATTTTGAAAATAAGGTATAGAGACAATAAGAGACATATTTCCTGACCTTTTCATGCTTAACATCTAAGAGGTAAACAGACAGATAAACAAGTAGTTTACACGGGGCCCTGTCAGAAACAAGAGCGTCGGTCTCTCCTATGACTTCACCATCACCATCTTTGTTTTCAGCCTGAGTCTTGAAGGAGAGCACAGAATAGGAACTCAATAAGTGTTGACTGAGAGATTGATGGTTGTGCTTCAGTCTTGGGCACATTTGATTTGTCTCAAACCTGTTTAAATGGCAAGATCTATCTTCCCTTCCTTGTCCTTGAGAGTTTCCCAAGAGATCTTAGACTTTTTGAGCCAAGGGGGACCTTGGGGACCATTAAGTTACAGCTCTCATCCAATAAACACACAAACTGAGGTCTGGACAGGTGACGTGACTTGTCCACACACACACCTGTCCTTCTGTAGTGACTTTTGGAACCAATCTCACATCATTTGCTTTTTTTTTTTCTTCCACCCAGCCTCTCTTTGTCCCCCAGAAATAAAGTTTCATGCATTTCTTTGCAGTAATATGTTTGGAATGTTTTCAAAAAGTATTAAATACTAATACAGAAAGGGGAAAAAATAAACACACAAGACATAAACCTCTGGGGAGAACAGAGCGGTATGCATTCTGATTGGCTCAGAGATGATTATTATCATAATAGAGAACCATTTAGCCAGTGCACGTGGCAGGAGGAATTCTCCACATGTTACAGACTGTGCAAAGAGTCTCTAAGACTCTGAAAGAAACTCACCTACAGATCTGAAATGCAGATTCAGGACCACGAGTGGTTGGAGTTTCGAATGACTAGGGTGTAAGCATTAGGTCATGTGCTGCAGATTGGGGGAACTGAGACCCATGAGTGTGTGGGAGAGAGCCAGGTAAGGAATTAGGCAGCTGCAACCCAATTCTGGCTGTGCCACTAGCTGACCGTGATAGGTTGGGCGGTTTTTTCACCTGTCTGAATCACCTTACCTTCCCCACCTATAAAATTAGGATGGATAGTCTCTTGGGTCCTTTTATAGGACCTCTAAATGTCTGTGAGAGACTTCTCATAGATTCCAGCATCCTGTAACTTGATACAAAGGGGGTGGACGTGGACCCACCTTCCCTGGAAAAGTTCCAGGAAAGGGGATATCAGGTAAGCTTGGTAAGTTTGAGGATAGGCCAGAGAGATTTTGAGACTTCTGCAGTTCTTTCAAGGTTTACAAATCTATCACTGTTCTTTGCTGTCAAGAGAAAGTAGGTGAGCCGGTATGGTCATTGTTACCACCAGCCGCAGGTCCACTCCATCTAGCTTATAAAACAGTCTTGAAAAAGTAATTCTTACATATTATTATGTAGGTCTATGGACACCATGATATCCAGATTGATGCCTGTGAGGTCTGCTTGCTGACGGGGCTGACCCTAGCAGTAAGGCACCTCTTCCTCGGGGAGAGGACTGAGCTGAATTCTCATGGGTGGGCTGAGGGGAGTCCCCCGGAGTTCAACATTATGGGCAACTTCCTGACTGAAAGGGAAGTTGAACTCCAAAGGCTGTGTGAACCAGCTTAGGATAGGGAGCAGGAGGAAATAAACCAAAAGGCAATTTCATTACCTTTCAGCTGGAAAAACAATCAGATTACTCCTGGTGCTTACATAATTAAGTAGCTGCCATAATCAAATGCTTCAGATTCTTCCTATAAGGAACCTACTGCTTGAAGTTCAACCTAAGTTACCTGCCTGATACTCGTGTTTGAGGGAAGCCTTCCCTTGGAGAAAATATTGGCATTTTGGACAAAACCGTAAAGTGACAAGAAAAAAAAAGAGAAGAGAGGGCCTTTATCACATAAGATGCTTATCCAAAGTGGACTTGGTCTGGAAAGGCTTCTAAAACCTTCCACATGACTGGCATCATGCAAGGTTAAGTAAAACTCTCAAATCCCACCAAGTATGCCCTTATTCAACCTGGATCCTTGGAGTGGACTCTGGAGTGTCCATTGCTCCAGATTCAATGGGCTGCTGGCCATACCCCCACCCAAGTCTCCTGGGACCCTATTGTGTTCAGAGGGCTAAAAAACAGTGTGGCCAAATATCTCAGGTCTCAAAATATTTTAGTGTGCTTGGGGGAAATGATACAATTATATTCCATGAAACTGTAAGCCAAGTGCTGAGGTAAACATTGAAAGAGGGGAAAGATCTATCTGGGTCAGACCATGGCTAGAGTTAAGGTGGGAAGGGGCTTAAAAGCTGGGGAGGGGATAAGGCAGAAAAATGTAGAAAACTTAATTCCTTCTTTATAGCTACAATTCTTAAGGGGGAGGGGATGAAGGAGTTTAAAAAATGTTCTTGGAAATACCATTTTCAATGAAATTTTCTGCTTCTGTCATCCCAATATCTCTTCTCTGAGATGTAATAGGGTTTCTGAGAACGAAGTTGAACTTGCATTTCTGAGGAGTATTCCCGGTCCTTATTTTGTTCCAAATTTTCAACATTTCTATAGCCAAAACATTCAAGTGTCTTTCTAAACAGAATGAGTTAGGAGAGAAAGGGAGAGAGGGAGCACAAAGAGAAAGATAGAAGACTCCAGCTGCAAAAGGGCATCTGCGTGGTGACAGCTAGTTACTGCTGAAGTCCAGGGAAATCAAGCCTTTCTTTCGGTGCAAATGAATGAACTGAGTTCCTGGCTGGTTGCCAAGTCATGCCACTGTTCTGTGCCAGTTTCCTCATCTGGAAAGTGTCAATAATACTTTGTGCTTTTCCTATCTAAAAGAAATTTTGTGAGATATAATGAGGTGTGGCATGGAAAATATAAGGCAGAATCAAGATGTTACTCAATAATCAGGATAGTTATAGTATTAGTTATCGGCAATCATCCATTACAGCTAGTAGTCTAGGATCCTGGATAGCTCTCCAGAATCTGGTGTTACTGCAGGGTGGGATCAGTCCACCCCCAAATTCCTTTCTGAAGGGTGGAGACTTGTCTGGCCTTGGTGGGGTTACCATTCCTCCTGCCCTTTCTACTCACTGCTTTTCAAATAAACTCAGGGCCTTTGCACTTGCTGTTCTCCCTGACTGGTGTTCTCTCCTCCCAGATTTCCACAGGAGTTCCTCCCACTCCTTTTTCCCTGCTCACATCTCAGCTAGAACGTCACCTCCTTAGAGATACCTTCTCTTACTGGCACATAGAAAGCGGTGCCCTCCCCAGTGATTTCTAACCCATTACTAAGTTTTGTTTCTTCATGGTACTATCACCATAGAACATTACCCAATGCATTCGTGAATTCACTGATGCATTGCCTGCAACTTTCATGCAAGCAAGGAATCTGTTTTGTTCATTACAACATCCAGAACAGTGTTTGTTGAATGCCTTCACGGTTTACTCTGGGTGAGCCTGGAGAAACCACAGTCCATTATAGCCAGCTCCAAAGGGCAGATGGCTTCCTCACATCCAGGAAAGTCGGGGGTGGGGGCGTAGGTCGTCAGCTGGCTCTTTCCCCTCTGACCCTGCTCTCTCCAGAGAAGGCGGAGAATTTGGCCTTTTTCCTTAGCCTTTCCACCAGGCGCAGTCAGGGTCTCCAAGGCCAGGACCGCCTCTGACCCGAGGACGGGTTGGTGGCAGTCGACCGTGGTTTGGATCAGAAGTGCGCAGAGAGAAGGGTGGGTGTGTGGTCAGGGTACCAGAGAGATGGGACACGCGAGCGCCACTCCGGGGGCCCCTCCGCGAAGCGTAGGTCCCGAGCGCGTTCCGGTTCACCCACTCCTGTGCCCACAGCCGCATTATTCCCTATAAGGATCTGAACGGTCCGGGGCGGCCCCGCCCCGTCGGCCCGCGCCCCCGGCCCCGCCCCCTTCGGAGGGCCGATGAGGTAATGCGGCTCTGCCATTGGTCGGTGGGGGCGGGCCCCGCGTGCCCGAGAGGGGGTGCCCGGGGGACCCGCGCTATATCACTCGGCCGCCCGGCAGCGGCGCAGAGCGGGCAGCGGGCGGGCGCTCAGACGGCTTCTCCTCCTTCTGCTCCGCCCCAGCTCCTGCTCCTTCGCGGAGAGACCGCCGGCCCGCAGAGTCGTGCGCCAGCTCCGAGGCAGCCTCGCTGCACCCCATCCCGTGCGGTGGGCACTCCGAGGGCAGCGCGCCCGAGGTCAAAGTTGCCCCGCACGGCCGGGCAGGCGAGCTCGGGCTGCAGCGGCCCCTCCAGCGGCGCGCGCTTCAACTTTGGAGAGGCGAGCAGCAGCCTCAGCAGCGGCAGCGGCGATGACTCCCTGGCTCGGGCTAGTCGTGCTCCTGGGCAGCTGGAGCCTGGGGCACTGGGGCGCCGAGGCGTGCACATGCTCGCCCAGCCACCCCCAGGACGCCTTCTGCAACTCTGACATCGGTAAGCGCTCCGGGTGTCCCCGCCAGAGCCCCCGCGGTGCCGGCTCTCGCGCTGCAGTCCTGACCCCGGCGCAGCTCCGGGTGGCATGGCGAGCTCGGCTCCTTTTCTCTGCCTCAGCTTGGGGTGGGGTGGCAAAACCCAGTTTCTTCGGTCGGAGGACCTGGCACGGCTGAAGGCGCAGATGCCCTGCAGAGAAAACCCGCGGTGGCTGAGGGAACCCCTTGCAGCCTTTGCTCTCCTGTTGGTCCTTTTGACATCTGGAACATTTCCCTTTTCACTATCACGAGAGGCAGTGCTGGGGGAGAAGGGTGGGAAAGGATTCCTAAAACTTGGAATGCCAACCAACTAAAGTATTGGGATGTTCAATAGTTTGAAAAAAAGTTGCCAGCCATGTGCACAAAGTTGCAGGAGAATCTTGAAGTTTTCTGAGTTTGCATTTTCTCCTGCACCCATGAAGTTCATTCCTTTCACTGAGACCCAACGCAGTCTCCCACTTCCCAAGCAACTGCTAACCGAGCTTCTTGGACTGCCAAGTTTGAGTGGATTTAAGGGGGGAAAATGAGAAGAAAGCTGTGGGGTTGACCCTTCCCTGGAGGAACTGTATTTGAGAGTGTTGATAGCAAGCAGGAGGCGGCGTGTGTGAGGGATCACTTATCACATAGCTGTGAGAATTCACAGGAAGGCTATTTTTTTTCCCCCTTGACTGTGTGTGGGGAGGGGGAGAAGGAGCAGTGGGAAACAGATTTGTCACCAAAAGAACAAAGATGCCAAGGGTCACATCATGGTGATGATTCCAAACTGGAGTTAGTGTCTTGGTTAGAGACTCAGTAAGAAGTAGAACCAGTTTCTATCCAGGGCCTTTCGAGTGTCCTGGGAGAACTTGTTTGGGAGTGTTTTGGGACACTTGTGTTTGGATGGCCAGAGGTGGAGTAGCAGCTGGAAAACATCTCTCCTCTCCTTTCCAGCTCATAAAGCATGCAAGTCCAGTGGCCCCTGCTGTGTGTGTGTGTGTGTGTGTGTGTGTGTGTGTGTATTTGGGCTGGGATGGGGTGGGGCACAGTCTAGCTGCCCTCTGCCTGTGTCGATTCAGAGGTGAAGAATGGAGCGTGTGTGTTTTAAGTCATAAAGAAGAAGGAAAATTTTCCACTGGGTCCTGGGTGAGGGCCTCCACAAGTGTGCTGCAGGGGCGGAGGGGGAGGAGACAGGAGCCTGGCAAGGGAGGCAGCTAGAGTTGGGAGGGGCACTGCTGGTGGGCCCCGCTGAGCCTAGGAGAAGTCAGGGAGGTGGCTGTGGTGACCAGAAGGTCAGTCCAGTTGGCAGGCGTGGGTGTTTATGTGACCTGGGGTCACCCTTGTTAGAGTTTCCTGGGGCCCATGCTGTGCACCCTTCCCATTCCCCGGGGAATCTGGCTGGCCCCTTGGTTTGTGGATTGCCTGAAGGATTCTTTCGGGCTGCCTGAGACCTGGAAGGTTTTCCTCTTTCTCCTCTGACCGCCCCCACCCAAATTCCACTTGGCCTGTCCCTCCTCCATCCTCACCCCTTTGGTGACATTCCCACCTGGGTAGTGTTGGAAGCCACTCTTGCTGCCGCTGGTGGGGTCTGGTTTGGGTTAGTGAGGAGTCCAGGAGGCTGACAGGTGGAGTCAGGGCGTCCTCTTCTGCTTGACAATGGTTTGGGTGTGTTCACTTGGATTTTTTGGTGTGCAGGGAGAGGGGAACCTCATGCCTCCCCCTTGCCCTTGGCTTTTGGGTTTTCACCCTGCAAGTTCACCAGAAAACAGTGGAAAGAGCAGCAAGGAGACCCTGCTTTTAATGGCTGCGCTGATGGACTCTGTTTATTGTTTAGATTTCCTGCTGTGGGTCCGGGCTGATGCAGAAAGTTTCTTGTGATTCCTCTGGATTTCTTCAAGAAATCTCCTCCCTCAAAAAACTGCCCAGAGAAAAGGCTAAGTTGCCAGGAAGTACCCACATACCAGAACATTGTGGTAGCAAAAATAAAAAAGAAACAAAAAATCTTCGATATGCTGGCACCACTCCAAATCGTCCTGCCTAGCTTTGGTGCACTGCACTAGTGGTGGGGATGAGATAATGCTTTTAAAAATGGGAGGTGTGGATGTGGGCTGCTTGCTTGTTGACCTCCACTGCCTTACACTACTCTGCCGGTGTCCAGTAGGTGGCTCCCAGTTTTTTCTTGCTTGTGGCCTTTCTGGTTTCCAGTCTGGGTTGCAGCTCTGCCTGTCCTCTCAGTGAAGGAGATGTGTAGAAGCTCCCCATCCTTCTTGACCCTTACGACCCCACTAATCAACGCTGTAGCCCATTAAAGACGCTCAAGCCAGACCACCAGCTTCCTCTTCCAGAACCTTCCTGGCTGTTTTCTCTTTGTGGCCGGCTGCCATGTTGCCGGGCAAAGGGCGCCGCATGCCTGACTTGGCCCTGTCTAAAGAACCCCCCATGGTCTTCCCTCTCTTTTCTCCTCATCCACAGGTGTCTCTTTTTGCCTTTCTCCCCCCAAACCCTGGGGACTGGCACTGCTTTCTGGGTGGGGAGGAGTTAAAAGGTGTTTCTATGGCAACTCCAGGCCCTGCACCCTAGTGAAGTGTTTAGGAGAAGAATAAACTACATGCTGGCTTATAAAACATACTGTGGGGGAAAGAAAAGGACTTGGCAGCAGCCAGGATGTCTGTGGCCCCCTCCCCACCAGTCATTGCCCCTGAAACTCCTGACAAAACCTTGACTCTGGAGGAGGGAGAGGAGGGGGCTGGGAATGAAGAAGGCAGCCTTGGCTGGCTAGATCCTGCTCCAGCAGCTCGGTCCAGCTCAGGAAGGGGCAGGCAGTGCCAAGAGCCTTCTGAAAATTGGTGTGTGTGTGTGTGTGTGTGTGTGTGTGTGTGTGTGTGGTTTCTGCAGGAGGCGGGCAATAGAGAGAGAGAATTTTGCTTCAGAATGCCAAGCCCTTCTCTCCAGCCTCCTTTGCATAGAGGAATGGGGCTGTGCCATAGAGTGTTGGGGGCCTGCCTCCTGAGACTGTTGGGAATTCAAGAGTGAGGCTCAGCTTGGGGGCCCGCTGCCAGCCCTGGAGGACAGTCTCTGGATATCTCCAAATTGTTTTGACAGGGACCAATGCCAGCAGATTCTTTTGGTATCAGATCTGAGGTTGTGGTTTTAGCAAAGAAGCCATTTTCAAAGAAGCCAGATCTATTCTCTCTCTCTCTCTCTCTCTCATACACACACACACACACACACACACACACACACACACACACACACAATTACACTCCTCACTGGGCTTTGTGACCTAAGGAAAATAAAAAGGTTCAGACTTCAGAGAGGAGCCAGCCACTTGGGGAGAGGACCCAGGCTTTCCGAATCTCGGGAACTCTAGAAAGAGGAGAACTGCACTACATAGGAAGGAAGAGACATCTCCCAGACCCCTACTAGGTGCAAGCACTTCACAGATCCTGTGTCTTTCATCCACCCAGCAACCTTAAGAGTAGGTATCACACCCATTTTTTCAGATGGAAAACATCAAGTCTGGGAAAGGTTGTGCTTGTCCAAGGTCACCCAGTTACTAAATGCTAAGGCTAATTCCTTCTTAGTCATGCAGTTCTTCAAAACCTTTTCAAATTTCATTTACTCTTGATATGCTAAGGCAAAAGACCCTTCCTTGGACTGAAGTGGAATGAAGGGTTAATATTTGAAGAATGCTTTACTTATTAATTTGGGGAAGTTGTCATTAAAAGTATGTCATATAATTTCACTCATATATGGAATTTAAGAAACAAAACAGATGAACATAAGGGAATGGAGGAAAAATAAGATAAAAACAGAGAGGGAGGCAAACCATAAGAGACTCTTAAAGACAGAGAATAAACTGAGGGTTGCTGCAGGGGAGGTGGGTGGGGGATGGGCTAAATGGGTGATGGGTACTAAGAAGGGCACTTGTTGGGATGAGCACTGGGTGTCATATGTAAGTGATGAATCACTGGGTTCTACTCCTGAAACCAGTACAATACCGTGTTTTAACTAACTTGAATTTAAATAATTTTTTAAAAAAGAGAGAAAAGTTAAAAAAAAAAGTATGAAGAGAGCCAGAATGACCTGAGGTTTTAAGTAAACATCATCTTCTAGGAGGGAGAAATTATTATTATTACTGTTATTATTGTTATTATTGTTATCATTTTAGGGCATAAATAGAGAAAAATAAAGAAAAATTTCTAATGTTCTTTGGCTATGAAAGAGACCCTCAAAACCACAAGTCAAAGTAAAGTAATGACTCAGTTTATCGCCCTGAGACCCAGGAGAAGTAAAGCTAATGGAGACCAGACATCTTGGGCTTTACGACCCTTCCTCTTCTAGATGGGGATGAGTTGGGGCTGCCCAGGATGAGGTGCCCACTCTATGTAGATGGCTGGTGTGGTGGCAGGAACACCAGAGACTGGTTCCTGGTTGGCTGGAGAAGGTGCCTCTCCCACGGTTCTGTGTCCCTTTCACAGTCCCTGGATAGATAAGGCTAGAAAAGTGGCCACAGAAGTGGCTTGGGTGGAGGGACTTTTGTTTGTTTTGCAGGAACAGCAGGAACTATTCAGCTCCACTGCTGAATGGCACATTCCAACAGGTTCATTAATTAAAAACAAAAACAACAACACAATTCTCCATTGCATTTGGCTTTTACCATTCCAGCCAGTATGGACAAGGAGGCCCCTTCTTCTAGCCTTTGTCATCGTCACCTCCTGGGTGGCCTTGAGAGGCAGCCTGGGGTGGTGGAAAGGCCTTGCGGTGGGCAGAGCTGGGTTTAAATTCTTCCTCTGGGGCTTGTTGGTGGTGTGCACTTAGGCATGTTATTGGACGTCTTTAAGCTTTGGTTTCCTCATTTATAAAAGGGGAATAATAATTTGCAACACCTTGGCCTTTTAATTTTTTTCTCCACATTTTAAAAGTCACAAGTATTATGTAAATACATTCTACACCCATGTATGTATGTATCTGTGTGTACATGTGTAT